TTCAAAGTGACGGGGCAGAGCTACCAAAGCCTTGGGTTAGTTTTTGAAGCTGTATACCTTCCTGACTAATGTACCCTGGACGTCACAGTCTTGTTGTTGTTGTTGTTGATTGTCGTTGAGTTAAGCACGACTCATAACAACTCCATGAACAAAAGACCTAATGTTTTCTATAACTATCATTGTTTCTCCAAGTTCATAGAGTTTCCACAGGCATGTGGTTGAGGAAGTGGTTGCCATTCCTTCTTCTAGATCTGTTTTATAGCTGGGAGCTCCATCAAACATTGTCCACATTGAGAAACCATTATGGCATTTCACACCCCAATGGCACAAGGTTCAGCATCACAGGAATCCCAGGTAACCTCAGTACAGCAAATTAGCAAAGAATGATGTACAAAGTAGAAGAACGATCCTCCAAAAGATAGCAACACTAGTTTCACTTAGCAGTTCAGGTTTAATACTGACTCATGGCCGGCCTATGAACAGAAGACCCAAACTCTGTTCTCTAATTTACATCATTTCTTTAATCACTGTTTTAGTTTGGCCAAAACATAACCGCCCTATCCTTGCCCTCAGTCAAACTGTCTTCTTGACTCCTCCAAGTGAAGGAAGATGAAAATCCTGTACGAGCCTTCAGCCATCCTGACCCCTGAGAAAAGTCAGCCTGCTTCTAAGTGGTCCTTTCTGGGAAGGCGTTTCCCAGCATCAAGAAGAATGATGAAAACACTCTCATTCTAATCTTATGCCCTCAGTATGCACCTGGTTCATATCATGGTCTTTTCAGTCACTTGCTATGCAGCTTAGGGCTGGACAATGAATAAGGACGAGAGAAGAAATGACACCTTTGAACTGTGGTGTTAGGTAACAGTGATGAATGTCTCACGGATTGCAAAAAGAATGAACAGATATGCTTAGAGAAGGTGCAGCCAGAGTGCTCCTTGAAGGTAAAAATGATGACGTTCCGACTCACATCCTTTGGGCATGTCACTAAGAGAGGTTATTCCTTGAAGAGGGACATCATGCTTGGGAAGATGGAGGGACAGTGAAGGAGAAGAAGACTCTCACCCAGGTGGATTGACACAGTAGTGCAGCAATAGGCTTGAGTGTGTCAGAGATTGGGAGGACGGCACATGCTAGAACAGGGTCCAGAAAAGTTGGTCATAGGGTCTCTTGGCCGTACTCTCTACTCGACAGCAGCTAATGACAGTAACTCACTGGAAGGAACTGTCCTGGTCACTTTTGATAATCTCAGTTTCTTTGTTTCCAATATGAGAAATTATTTCTTCCCACCTCCCGGGGTTGTGGAACCAAATAATCTCATGTGTGTAAAAATCCTTTGTAAACCACCAAGTACAAGAAGAACAAATACAGCTGCTTTAAATTTAACGATGAGTCCTAGAACGACAGTAGATGACTGTTGGAAGACATGAGTAACTGCTCTCCCAGCACACTCAGAGCTGATCAAACCCTAACTGCCACGTGGCCTAGGGATCAACTCCAGGGAGCGTATATCAAGAGCAGAGAGCTTGAGGAGGAATTGGGAAGGAGGTCAAAAGAGGAAAAGTCCATCTCACCTGAAGAGGTGAGGGTCATGGACACCTGGGGCCTCCAAGGGGCTATTCTGGAGGAAGTGGTGAGCAGACACGCTCCTGGAGACAACATGAAGCCTCCCTAAATTGTAAGCTGAACGTAACTGCTGAACTTCTGCCACTACGGCTCATTACCCCTGGAAAAGCCAGCCAGCAGACACCCAGTAAAGTTCTATCTTTAGACACAACCCTGCCTGGAAAAAATACCACCAAACTATGAAACTGGCAACAAACCTGCTCAGCCATCTCATGGGCTCCTTATGGAGCCCGCCCCAATTCGCAGCTTCTGCTCACCTCCTGCCTTCCTCCACCCGGGTTTTCGCTCTCCCTGCTCCTCAAAGGACTAGTGGTGTGTCTGATGAGTCACACCCTCCAGACCTTGCTCTCTCATTACTTGGGAAAGCAGTGAGAAGTGAATGGAAAGACTCATTAAGTAAGAGATATCAAGACCTGAAGCTACACTACTGTCATACCCCAACCGGAATGTCCACAATTCCTAGGAGATCCGTAATTCCCTCACTAAAGGTGGAATGTGTAACAAGCCAGAGAAGGGAGCTAGGATCTTCAGATGCACCCCTGAAATCCTCCCTCAGTCTTGTCTGCCATCTATATGGAGCTTGCTGTGCTGGAAAATGACATGGTCAAGGTCTTTCCCAGCCATGAAGTGGATGACTTCTCCATCACCTGTAGAAGAACCAAGCAGAAGTGAACCACAAGTAAAATCTCTCTCAGATAAAACAAAGAGAAAGAAAAGCCAAATCTGAAGGCCTTTGTTTTTGTCATTGTCCTTGTGTCATCCAGTCACTTGCGACTCTGCTCTATCCTGTGCCAGCCTTAATGTCTCTGACACACCTACCCTCATTACTCCAGTCACTGAATCAAACCATCTCAAGGATCTTCCTCTCTAGTACTGTCCCTCCACCCTTCCAAGCATGATGTCCTTCTCCAAGGACTGGTCCCTCCCTGCAACATGCCCAAAGTATGTCAGACAAAGCCTCAGAAGTAGAAAACTCCTTATGATGGAAGCATTGTAAACCATTAGGAGTCACTGTCTGAGCAAACTGCATGTGGACTCTTTTCCTGGGAGTGCCAAATCACATCCTCTCAAGGAAACAGTGACAGTTTTCCAAACCTATGAAAGGCCAGCCTACTCAAGGGGCTGAGAGACGTGCCAGGGTCCAGTAAAGAAACAAGCCCACAGTCGCAACTTCTTTTAAGGTGTTAATATTGAGAAACCCCACTTTATAAAGCAAAGCCAAGTCATCTCTATGCTGAGAGTCCAAACTACAGAGGGCAGACAGTGGGAGAAAGAGCTAGAAAGAAAAAAACATTGGTGCCATGGGCAACATCTGTGGAGCATCCTGTGCCCCATGCCCTGCAGACCAGGGCATATTCTTGCACCAAGATTGGCACCAGTTCCGTATTGGTGAATGTCAGTCGGGTTATTTGCTGCATAAACACCAATTAAGCCTCAGAGCCTCTCAGACATGCCCAGTCAACTTCGCAGAAGAGCATCTCTCTCCAGACTTGGAACTTTCCTCTGGGCTGCCTGGAGTTTAACCCTTCCTTCTTTTCCCATTCCTTCTGATTTTGGATGCTTTTCAAACTATTCAAGCAGCCATACGTTACCAAGGCCGTATGGTACGGCAGAACTAGCTAGAGTAACCAAATAGCAAGAAATTGAGCCTTAATAACAGTGCAGAGTTGTGAGCTCAGCACGTGCCTCCTGATTCTGGGAAAATACTTCGCCAGGAGGGTCGGTCTCCTCTTGATTTCTCCCCACAACCCAGATAGGAAAGCAAGAATTCTCTCTCTTTCTCTCAGGTACAGGACAACCTGTAGTTGATGCTGAGATGGAAAATTGCATTTGTAAAAGCTTGCTTCATTTCCGTGGATGGAAAAGGCTTTCCTCTTCAAAATATTTTCAAGACGCAGGGAGTAAATTTCAGAGCTCAGCTTATCCGTCTCCTACAGAGAGCTTTCTAGATATTATTCACAAGCAAGTGACCAAGGCAAACTAAAGTGATTTCTGTAGCCATTTGCAATTACTGACAAACAATTTCATAACGGAAAAATGGGCATTTCCGTCAAGTACAATAAGCTGTTTATCCAAAATCTACCTGCTGGTGGTTCTTTTTCTCTTTTTTCCCCTCAAGCAAAATACAAGCTTTCATCGGAATGCATTTCTCTCGTTAATCATTTTCTTGTAAATGCCTCCACCCCCAGCCCTGACTTCCACATCTAAATGTCTGTGGGCAACATTTCTATTCAGTCCACGCGGGGCCCCGAGCCGGTCGTGTATTTCTTGGGTGTTCAGGAGCCTCCCACATCGTCAGGTCTGAGGATAAGGATTGCCCTCATATGGCAACGTGGGTATTTCCCTCCTGGAGCGGAACTAACTCCGGGGGTCCCCTGGGTCTGTGCTGCTGCAAGTGAAGGGGTCTATTCCCCCCCCCGCCATCGTTCCGGGGTGCACAGACACCCTATGACCCCAGGCGATGCTATTTGGGCACCCAGAGAAGCAGTTCCTCCGGGATGCGCGGGGGTGCTGTCTTGCGCAGTTGCACGCCCCTCTGCGTTTCATTTGCACCAAGGGAGCGTGTGAGACAGAAGGATGTGGCGGTGGGGGTGATTCTGCTGTATTTTCACCAACTGTACGAACCTCAAGGGATCTCCGCGCTGTATGGCTGACCAGATGGGCTCGCTCTTGCCGTGGCGGCGCGGGATCTCTCCCTCTCCCTCTCCGTCTCCCTCTCCCTTTTCCTCTCGCCATCCACCTATCCAGCCATCTCTTCGATGGAATCGATCTCGGCCTGCAGCCGCCCGCCCCGCCTCCACTCCCCTCTTCCCAGCAGCGTCTTCCTTGTTCTTCCCGGTCTTTTCAGTTGTTGAGCTCGGGCTCCAAGTGGAGCCCAGGACGGTGGAGAAGGGCCCCCTCGCCCCAGTCCTCTGCGCGCCCGCCCGGGGCCCCACCTCCGCCCTGTCACACCTGGCGGCTCGAGCGCCCACGCCCAACGGCCGCCCGCACCTGGGGCCCCACCAGCGCGGCCCCCCGCCCCCGGGCACTGTTGGGGAGCTTCTGCCTTTGCTTTATAAACTCAAGATCTCCAGCTCTTTCTCCCTGCTCCCACCCCAACAAGACGGGGAACACCAGAGCTTCCAAGCCACAAAAGGGGGGGCGGGATGAGGGGATTCCAACCTCGCAGGAGCCTACAAACTCAAGAGGGAACATGCGCCACGCTGGGTGGAGGGAACCCCCAAACCGACCCGCTTTCTCTCGCGATCCCCATCTCCCTAGATTCTTGTTAGCCAGCCCCCTGGCTTCAGGCTCTGTAAGGCGAGGGTTACCCCAACTCATGCCAGAAACCTCGAACTTGGGAAATTCCTCTCGTTCCACTCGCTCAACCAAGGTACCTCGTCATCTCTGAGGGGCAAGTCCGGGTTCCGCGGGAGCAGATCCAGGAGGTCACCGGACAGGCGATCTGAGAAGGAGCGCGCTAGAATCCTGCCGCCCGCCTCACCGGAGCATCCTCGGCGCGACTGCCCCCCGCCCGTCACCCTCGGGTCTCCCATCCGCCCAATAAACTTTTGGGGGAATCACATCTCCAAGCCTAGGGAGTTCCGAGCGAAGCCAGTCTCTTCTCTAGCCCTCTTCACTGGAATGTAATCACGGCAAGACAAGAGGGGTGGCCGCCTTGTTCTTTGCCACGTAAAATCAACAGACACCCAATCAAGCGCCAATGCCCGGCCAGCCTCTCGCCCCCTGGTGCCCACTCTCCCTCGCCCCCCATTCCGGCAGTTTCTCCAGCCAGGACTCGCCCAGCCTCCGGGGCGCAAGGCTGTCTACGGTGCCCTGGAAAAAGCAAATCACGAAAGTGATACGGAAGGAACCGTGCGCCTGGCTGTCCAATGAATAGCTTTTGGGTTGAAAACGGAAAGGAGAATAAAATTGGGGGAATCCTCTCTCTTTTTGCAGCCAGCACGCGTTTGGGGGAGTTTGCGCGCTGGGGGCTCTTCTCTCTCTGATTCCGCACTTGCGTTCCTCTTTGCCTGCTCCTGCGGCGCGAAGTCTTACCCTGCTCCCCGCCGAGGGCACGGTGAGGAAGCCCGCGGGGGGCCCGCAGCTCCATGTCAGTGCCGCGAGAGGCGAGCTCCGCGGCCGCACTTGTAGCTGCTCTCGGGGCTGAGGGGGCTGCGCTGGCCGAGCCGGCGCCAAGTCTCTTCCATGTGAATAACAAATACTCCCACCGGCGGCCGCGATTGGTCTGCGTCCGGCGCCTCCCGATCCTCCGCCCGCGGCCATTCACCCGGCGCGGCGAGGGGAGCCGCGGCCCGGATCGCGCCCGGGATCGCCAATCGCTTCACGCCAGCCAGTCACCTCGGGATGCGGGAGGAGACACCCCGCGGGGAGGGAGCCCCTGGATGTCACCCAGCCGCCCTGGCGCGGGCCAGGACAGGGAGACTCGCCGGCAGGTCCCCCTTGCGCGCTACATCCCCGCCGTCCTAACCTGCGCGGGAAGCGGAGATGTCAATAGTTCTCATCGAAAATCCCGCACGCGCCCCGCCCCACCAGAAGGGAGGACCCAAAGACGCGGGGGAGGGGAGGCGTCGCGGGGAGAGGAGGAACGAGGCTGTGAAGGCGCCGAGCGCCCCGAATGCTGGCGACCCGGGAAGGCGCGCTCCGGAGCGCACCGGCCCCGGGGTCTTCCTTGGCACGCGCAGAGTCCGGGGAAGTGTCACTGTGCAGAATACACGGCAGAGGACGACCAGCGCGCCGCGGGCTGTCTTTTCGGGGATGAGCAAAGTGAAGTCCACACGTGCGCAGATTTCCGCAAAGTTTGCGCCTCGCCGCGCGGCCACTGTCCGTCTCGCCCTGATGGGGTCCTGGGGCGCCTATCTCTGTGTCTGGGGGCGTGTGATGGACACAGACTTGCTCAATCCACAGCACTGTAGGCAAGCGGGTTGAGAGGTGTTTTATTGTGAAGATTCAAAGATATGAGGATGGGAACTCTAAGAACCAAGAGTGTGGGTGGCTCCTGGCTGTCTGCAGGGAAAGCTCAGGGTTCCCTTCGCAGCCATTGGGTGGACACCCACCGGACTACGTGCCCGTCCAGTGCCCCCTGTCACTAGTAGCCGCTCGGGAAACGCTACCCCGCACCAGCAGGCTCGGATATAGGTGCGCACGCTACCCTGCGACCTGGAAGCTGCGCCGCTGGCGCTGCATGGCCGGACCTTGTGTTGGTGAGAAAGTTCCATCTAGAGGCGGCCGTGCGCAACTGCAGACTGCACCGCTCATGAGAGAGCGAGAGAGGCAGTGCCCACTGGCTGAGAGCATGATGGAGGGAAGGGGGCGAGGATGAGAGAAAAGGACACGCATCCCCAGCCCGTTCAAAGGAGTGTCTGCATGAATCTCACTCTTTACCCTTCCGGCGTCTTTGCAGCGCATTCCACCTTTCTAAGGGTCCTGAGCGCGAACCCTGGACAGGTGCTATCCAGTGCACTGTTTACCCTGCATGGGCTTCTCACACTAACCATGAGATGGTTGTGGTTGAGCTCAGGTGGCCTAGTCTGTAGGGGGTATGCTGATAACTCAAGAATCTCTGGTGGAGCCAATCCAAAAGCGGTTCCATGGTGGGAAAACAGACCATCTTCTGTGAGATTTACAGCCTCGGAAATTCAAATGGATGATCAGCCGTGACAACGTTCTCACTGGATGACAATGAAAGAGAGAGGGACAGGCCATCTCTGGGAGACGCAAATGGTTTGCACACGTACTTTTCCCAAGGATTAACCCCTCCTGATTGCATGACCAGTTTATAAGATGAATTTTCATCACCCTTACATCTAAGGAGCGTCCTGATTACACTTCCTCTGAGATAGTCTTGTTTGGTTTTTTGGCAGTCCATGGCATATTCATTACCCTTCTCTCTCACCACCATCGACAGACATCAATCCTTTTATCATTGAATACAATGTCCAGTTTTCAGATATATCGGACACAGTTGAAAATACTATTGGTTAGATCTGGAGCACGTTAGTCTTTACACTGACATCATTGCTCTTTAGAAATTGTGAGCGGCCCCTAACAGAAGACGTTCCTAACACAACATCCCTTTTTATTTCCTAACTGCTGGTACCTTTTGGCTCCATCTTTTCTCCATCTATCCAGATGCTGTTGATCCAGTGGTGAGGATTGTTCTTTTCTGGATACTGACTTGTAACCCATATTGAAGGCTGTAATGCTTAACTTCATTAAGTGCTTCAAATCTGCTTCACTTCCTGCAAGCAAGGTTATGTCATCTGTACAAGACAGTTTTTACAAGACAGATGAGTTCTCCTCCAATCTTGGTGTCACATTCTTCTTCAGAGTCCAGCTTCTTAAATGAGCTTTGCTGAGCATGCAGACTGAATAGGTATAAGATACAACCTCAACACACACCTTTCCTGATTTTAAACCATGTAGTGTTCCTAGTGTTCCCTTGTTCTGCTGGGACATTGCTTCTTGATAGTGACCCTTTGAGGCAGAGTAGAACAGACCCCATAGAGTTTCTGAAGGTTTGGTCTTTATAAAAACAGACCCCACATCTTTCTTCCCGGGAGCAGCTGGAGGGCCTGGTGAATTTCAGCCACTTCTGTCAGCTGCCGATGCTTAACCAGTTCACCACCAGAGCACCACTGTCTGAGTTCAACCCTGACTCTGGATGGCCCTCCACCGATTTCTGAGGCTGTATATCTTTACAGGAGGAGACTGTCCATCTTTCTTTCATGGGGAGGCTTGGGGCCAAACCACTGACCTTTAGGTGCACAGCTCAATACCTAATGCACTAATCCATCAGGGCTCCTTTCCAAAAAGCTTACTGCCAAGAAAAACCTATGGAGCAGATGTAACCTGTACACATGGGGCTACCAGGAGCCACAATTGACTAATGGGCAACTGGGTTTGCTTTTTTTCTTTTTACAGATCAGAAAAGAAAGCTCGGTTTAGAGACTCCCCTGTAATGTACTAGAACCAGACATTCGAGCCGTCTGGCTTCAAAACCCGTGATTGGAAGCCTCGTCCGCACAGCTCCCCCGGGTCCTTTTCCCCAGCCTGGCACTGTCTTGTGACGTTTCTGTTGAGAAGACAGCTGGCTCCTTCTTGCCTTACTGCCAGGAGGGAAAGGTTTCATAAAGCCACCATCACCCACTGTCACGCAGAAGTCTACAGCTCTCCAGCTTGGGAACCTCTCCTTCCTTTCCCTCTAATCTGAGCTTCTTAGACCGCAGAATCATTCCTTTATGACCACAGGCACCTGAAGGGAGGCAGGGGGGTTTGGACAGAGGAAGCAGCCTGAAGTCACTGCCCCTAAACATTACTGTCTAGGAAGCCTCAATTCTGGGCCATTGAAACAGCTTGGAGCCAAGATAGAAAGAATAGGGATGAGGCCTTGTTGAGACATGGGTGGGGATAAGCCTCAGAAACTTATGTCTCCAGATGAAACGTAACCAGTTCACCGCCAAAGCTCATTCCAAAAAAGGTTAAAGACCCCAAATCCCTCTGTCTTTCCTTCCAGTAACCTGAACACAATCTCAGCATCCTGGTTCCCACCCAAGCAGCCCCACCACACTTCAAAATTCCACATAGATGATCCTTGTCTGCGCAGAGTTCTAGGTAATGTAGGTGCACAGACTGTGAAAAGCACAAACACGGCTTTCTAAGGAGAAGGGTAGCCAGAGCACTCCTTAGATGCAAAGACTGTGAGATTTCCTCTCACATACTTTGGGTGTTGTTACGGGGGACCAGTTCTTAAATAAAAGGAGGAAGACCCCCAACACTGGGTTGACACAGTGACTGCACAGAGACTGAGGATGGCAAGGGGTCAGGCGAGGTTTCACTCTGTTCTACACAGAACCATGGAGTCCTAACCAGCTCAGTAGCACCTAACAATGATGACAACAAGCCTCTAACAGTATATACAACAGGGTTACAACAGGAGTATACTTCTTTCTAAATCCCATTGACCGTGTTAGTTACCTTCTAGCCAGATCCAACTCAAGGTCAGCTGAGGATAACCCTTCGCTGGGTCCTGGGTCATGTATCGTGATTTAAGGACACACATCGCTCAGAACTGTCAGATGATACTCTCTTGTGTTCCTGAGGATTTTCACGGGCTACCTTCACCAGCAGCCAGGAAATTAAAAGGCGCATTGCCATGGGAAAGTCTGCTGTTAGGGACCTCTCCAAAGTGCTGAAGAGCAGTGGTGTCTCTCTGGAGACTAAGGTGCGTCTGATACAGGCCATGGTCTTCGCAATCACCTGTTATGCATCAGAGAGCTGGACAATGACCAAGGAGGATAGAAGGAGAACTGATGCCTTTGAGCTGTGGTGCTGGAGAAGAGTACTGAGAATACCATGGACTGCTAGGAAAACAAATAGATTTGTCCTGGAGAGGGTTAAATCAGGTGGCTCCTTGGAGGCAAGGATTCTGAGGCTCCATCTAACTTACTTTGGACATGTAGTGAGGAGAGACCGGTCCTTGGAGAGGGACATCATGCTTGGGAGGGTGGAGGGACGGCGCAGGAGAGGAAGGCCCTCTATGAGGTGGATTGATTCAGTGACTGGGATAATTGGGATGGGAGGGTCAGAGACAGTGCGATTGGCACAGGACAGAGAGGAGT